AATTGTACAGCACAATATTGAAGCCTGTATTGGATAGGAGACTTTCAGAGGGAGAGAGCAGGAAGATTGCAAATAGAAATCAGCGTCTTGTTTTAGAAATGGAAGATGGGAAAACATTATAGATTTGCAGCATAGGTATTAAGCCTGTATGAACAATCTTCAGTTTATGAATTACTGAGTGGGCATATTGCATTTGCAAATAGACAATTAGTGTATTTTTATATTGATTTGAAAAGACAATTTAATAGATTATTGGATAGAGCATGATTTCACAGGGACAAAGCAAACAGATTGCAAGTAGAAATAACAATTAGTATATTGTTTCAGAGACTGAAGATGGAAAAAAGGTTACAAATATGTACCACAACTATTAAGCCTGTATGGACAGGTTGCAGGTATATCTGAAAGTGAAAAATCTGTGTCTTTTTGTATAAAACTGAAAAGAAAAAAATGATTACCGTATTTTTCGCTCCATAAGACGCACTTTTTTCCCCCCAAAAAAGGGGGGAAAATGTCAGTGCGTCTTATGGAGCGAATATAGAGCGGCCGGTCCGGTATTTCCACTGCCGCCGTGTCAGAATACCGGGCCGGCCGCTCAGCTCTACAGCGGGACCTTATAGAGATGACTGCTGACCTTTGGGGAGGGGGGGAGCGGGTACCTGAATTTGACAGGTACCCGCTCTCACTTCCGTGGAGTTGTTCTTTCATCTTACCCGTTCCTCTATCCAGCGGCGCGGTCTTCCCGGCTTCTGTAGTGTGGGCATGACAGACGGGTGCCAAGTGCCAAGTGCACATGCGCAAGAAGCGGTGCTTTTTGTGAATGGTAAGGCGGCACCTGGGACACATGACAGATCCCAGAAGCCGCCGGACCAATCACAAAGCGCAAGTGCTTCTCGCTCATGCGCACTGGGCACCCGGCTGTCATGCCGAGCGCCATTACAGAAGCCGGGAAGACAGCGCGCGGCTGGATAGAGGAACAGGTAAGATGAAAGAACAACTCCGCGGAAGTGGGAGCGGGTATCTGTCAAATTCAGGTACCCGCTCCCCCCCTCCCCAAAGGTCAGCAGTCATCCCCTGTACTATCCACAGTCTCTGGTCATCCCTGTGCTGTCCGCAGTCTCTGGTCATCCCTGTACTGTCCGCAGTCTCTGGTCATCCCTGTGCTGTCCGCAGTCTCTGGTCATCCCTGTGCTGTCCACAGTCTCTGGTCATCCCTGTGCTGTCCACAGTCTCTGGTCATCCCTGTGCTGTCCGCAGTCTCTGGTCATCCCTGTGCTGTTCGCAGTCTCTGGTCATCTCCTGTGCTGTCCGCAGTCTCTGGTCATCCCTGTGCTGTCCGCAGTCTCTGGTCATCTCCTGTGCTGTCCGCAGTCTCTGGTCATCTCCTGTACTGTGTCCGCAGTCTCTGGTCATCTCCTGTACTGTCCGCAGTCTCTGGTCATCCCTGTACTGTGTCCGCAGTCTCTGGTCATCTCCTGTACTATGTCCGCAGTCTCTGGTCATCTCCTGTACTGTGTCCGCAGTCTCTGGTCATCTCCTGTACTGTGTCTGCAGTCTCTGGTCATCTCCTGTACTATGTCTGCAGTCCATTAGTTCAGAATTTTTTTTTCCCGTTCTCTGCCTCTAAAACCTAGGTGCGTCTTATGGTCAGGTGCGTCTTATGGAGCGAAAAATACGGTAATTATTAATTAATACATTTGCAGCACACCTTTGAAGCCTTTGTTGGAAATGCTACAATTTCAGAAGGAGAAAGCAGATTGCATGTAGAAATAAAAAATGAGTGTTGTATTTCAAAGACTGTAAATAGAAAATGGTTCCAGACTTGCACCACAGATATTATGCCTGTATTTACAAGCTGAAGTTTTTGTGTGATTGAGTGGGCATATTGCATCTGGAAATAAAAAAAATGTTTACAATGGAAATCATAAACATTGTGCAAAATCACAGCACACCTTTGGAGCCTTAATTGGATATGCCACAATTTATGGGGGAGAGAATAAGCAGATCGCTTCAGTAACTAAAAATTGGCTTATTTTGTACAGTCTTAAATAAGGAAAATTTTATGATTATTGCTAAGCTTGTAATTCTTTTTGGCCAGGCCACTTTTTCCAAGGAAGAGAGAAAGTAGATTCCATCTGGAAATAAGATTTTTTTTCTTTATTTTCCAAGAATGAAAATAAAATGAAAAAAGCTTTTACATCCTTTTGGCCAGGGTAATAGTTTTGAGGCAGACTTTAAGTCTATTTCTGACAGAATTAATACCTGAACCTGAGGTCTTAAAAAATTTACATATTTGCAGAATTGTATTCTTTTTCTGCAGTGAGTTGGTTTCTTTGAGCCAGAAATATGAATTAAAAATGAATTTTCTATAAAGACAATATATGAAAACCATATTGATTTACTGAACAGAATCTCTTCCATTTTAATGGGCGGCAATTTAAGAGACAAGGAGTAGTGCTATTTGAGCATGAAAAAGTAAAAAGTATTTTTTACACCACAGGTAGTTTGTATGTATTTTCTTAACCTACATTTTTCCTTTTTAAAGGAAACAATTTAGGCAGCATGGTGTTGGCATAATTCAGCCATAAATATAAAAAGTGGTTGCAAACCTCTGAAAAAAAATTAAAATAACATATCCTCATATAGTGTGTACTTAACTTAGTCCTGTCTGCTATCTATTCCTCTGTTATCTGCACAAGCCACTTATGAACGTTTTTTCCTCTCAGGAGATGCATCCCATCCCAAGCACCTAGCAGGTGATTGACAACAAGCTCTGGAGAGATGCTGCAATTAAATGGGTACAACTTATATAGGAGGATTTCAATAATCACCGTGTATCTTCCAGGCCTATGTAGAGATTTATTATCACTTTAAATCAAAGTGTATTGCTTCCAAAACATTTAATCAAATAAATGTAATAATTAGCTGAACTGAATCACATTCTTTCTGATGTAAAGTAGTTTTGGAGGAAGATAGTAGGTATATGTCTGCCAGAAATATTAACGAAAATTTTATTTTTCCAGAGACAAGATATAAATATTGTACACATTTGAGGCACATAATCAAATCATTTTGATTATGAGGTTTTTTGAGGCAAGGAGTATTTTGTATAAAAAACGTAATATTTGCTGAAAGGCTCTTGAATTGTTTTTCAATTAGATGCAGTTCAAGAGAGAAAGAGAACAAAGACTCCATCTAGCAAAAATGAAAATTGTGTTCCTCCTGTATCAAATGAGAAAAATATTGTACAAATTAACCTTAAAAATGTAAAGTATTTTTATAGGCAACATATTTCAGAGTTAAGGGGTGAGGAAGGGTGGTTTCTTTTTAAGGAATTAATGTTAGGAAGCACTACTTTAAAGAGAGTGTATCTAAAATGAATCTAGATCATACAATGTTTTCAAGTACAGTCAAAATCTCGATACAAAAAGCATGAGATAGCTTGAATGAAAGCCAAAAAAAATGAATGGGGGAATGATACAGAAACATATAGTATGGTCCATTTGTAATGTTGATGCAACAAAATGAAATGCAAACATGAAAGGCCTACGCAGTAGTTAGCTAAAAAATATTAAATTTTTTTTTCTCTGAGAAACAGTTGTCTAAAAATTAGGTTTTGAGTATTATTAATCCTAGCAAACTGTAAGTGAACACCAATATTTATGCAGAGCACAGGAGGAAGCCTGTCAACAATTTTACAGTCTTAAATGTAAAACAGCAGTAAAAATATTGGTTTTGGGTGTTAATGGTTTCTAAAATACTATAACCCCTCAGAAGTATTGGAGCAGAGCACAAGATGTTATGTAAAAAAAAATCAAATTTTTTTACAACTGTGGAATAGCTGTGGAAAAAGTCAAATAAAAAGTGTTCCGCAATAGAAAAGAGCAATGGGCCCAGTATGATATGGTAATGGTAACAATTCTATAGGGTGGCACTTAACAGTGCTGGTCCAGCAGTAGTAGGAGAAGGTATTATTGGTGGCTGGGTGGGCAATGGGGGCCCACCATGGGGGCAGGAGATGACAATGGTGGTAGGCAGTGGGATTTAATTCAGGCCTGCTGTGGTAAAAAAAGGAGGTTTAGACAGTAAATAAAATAAATTATTTTTGCCAAAATCTCCTAAAAAATGAATCTGCAAGATCCACAACAGGGGCTTGGCAGTTGTCCATGACCCAGGACTGGTTCATTTTATCAAATGTAAGCCACTTAACTGTGTCTGGGGACAGACAGACTCTTTTGCCTGTCATAAAGCTCCCACAGCACTAATTGTATGTTCAGAGAGGAAAAAAATGTTTTAAATGTCTACCTTAGTCAGCCACCTCCAATGTTGTCGTTTCATTCTTCAGCAGTAGACTCCAAGCCATATTGTCCATAAGACAGAATATTGCCAGCCTCTGAAAAGGAGGTTAAGGTTGCAGTCTTCCAGGTGTTTCAACCTGTGCTCCCTCTGTGACGGCAGTATAAGCTCTGTCACTTTACCCTTGTAACAGGGATGCAGGAATGCTGTAAATCAGCAATAGTTCATCTCCTTGATGCCACAAATACTAGGGTCATTTTGAAGGCTCTAGACCATGAGTGAGCCAATCCAACACATGTTACTAAAAGCAGAGGAACCTGAGTCCTCAGGGTCGTTGAGGACAACATTGTCCTCAACTATCTACCCCCCCACCCATGTAGAACTCCCAGGGTTTTTTGAAACTCACCCCTGTAAGCCTGCCTCATGTCTTCCTCCTCCCTATCACCACCAATGCAATCAGAAATCGGCACTAATGAGGTGTCACGGATAGGTGGCACTGATATGCGGCACTGATTGGTGGCACTGATAGGCAACACTGATAATGGGTACTGATAGACAGCACTGATAGGTGGCACTGACTGACATCACTGCTGGGCACTGACTGGCGGCACTGCTGGGCACTGACTGGCACAACCGCTGGGCACTGACTGGTGGCACTGACTGGCAGCACTGCTGGGCTGCACTGATGGGCACTGGTGGGTGGCACTGGTGGGCACAGGTGGGTGGGCACAGGTGGGGCACTACTGGGCACAGGTAGGTGGCACTTCTGGGCACAGGTGGTGACACTGCTGGGTGGCACAGGTGGGCGCACTGCTGGGCACAGGTGGGCGCACTGCTGGGCACAGGTGGGCGCACTGCTGGGCACAGGTGGGCAGAACTTGTGGGTGGCACTGCTGGGCACCGATCATCAGGGCACTGGTGATCAGTGACCCTGATGATCGGTGTCGATCCCCTCTCTGACAACTGCCGGTTTTCGGCAGTACTTTCCTCACGATCTGACAGCGTGAGGAAAGTGCAGCCGAGAACCGGCATTTGCATTTTCCCGGTGATCAGCGTGTCATTGGACACTGCTGATCACGTGTTAAAAGACCGCTGTGATTGGCCTTTTACCATGTCACGTGATCAGCTGTGTCCATAGGACACAGTGATCACGGAGATCGCCGGGTGCGCGCCCCGGGGGGCGCGCGGGGAGAGCGCGTTCTGGGAGGACGTCATATGATGTCCACCCAGAACTGGCCGGCCGCAGTGCAGCCGTCATTCGGCTATCTGCGGTCGGCAATTAGTTAAAATCATTGGCTGTAAAGGGGTTAAACATCTAAGGCGTTCAAAGGGTTAACTGTGTGCCTAACCAGTGTTTTTGTATACTTTGTATGCTGTTTTTACTAGGAAATCTTCTAGAGTTTATTTCCTGCTTTGCAGGATAAGAAAATCTAGTAGATTGCCAATAACAAAACATAGGCAGAGCTGTGTTCTGTCAGTCTCCTCGGTAATCAACAGATGTCAGTGCTTATCCATTAACCAGCACCTGTTGATCTGCTTCTGCTGTGTCCAATCACAGCAGAAGCACTACGGCGGAAGTGCACAATCATGTTTATATACAGTACTTGATTTTGCACAGAACTTATGTCCTGTAGCAGTAAGTCTATAGGGTGGACTTCAAGTGGTTAATAACCCCTTCAGAAACACTCACCCATTCTTTCAAAAATGGGAAAGAGACAACCCAGCACGACGGGACAAAAATGTTGTACTTTGTTCACTGTTTTGTACTTTGCTCGTTCACTAACAAAATCCAAGAATCAGTGTACAAGTTTAAGACCAGAGTGCTCACACTCCTACATAAATTCTTTTGTCAAGTATCCAACCTTTGTCAGTGGTGGAAACAGCAAAAAGCCATTCTTAAAAGCAGAAAAATGTTAGTGAATGAAAGTACACCTTTTAAGCCTTTTTGGATAGACAACCTGAACACCAACTGTAAAGCACAACAATCAAAATAACTGACGATAAAAAAAAGGTCTTAAATAGAGATGAGCGAATCGAACATGGCGAAGTGGAATTCGTTTCGAAGATCAGGAAAAATTCGATTCGCGCCGAATCCGAAAATTAGCAAACTTCGGATGCACGAATCGAATTTTCCCAAAAATGGCGGCGACATGTGTGGCGACGGAGCGGGGATCTCTGGGAAGGCGCGCAGACAAGGCGCGCTGACCCATAATGCATTCATTCATGACATGTGATCGCATTAGCCAATCAGCAGCCAGCCAGCCAGCACTGTGTAATGGTGGAGCTATAAATTGCGGCCATCTTAGAATTCTCCATTAGCCTCCGGTCATTCAAGAGAGACAGACCTGTCTGTATTAGGGACAGAGTTAGGGCCACAGAGACTTTAGGGCCACAGAATCGTTACTCAGGGAAACAGAATCGTTACTCAGGGACACAGAATCGTTACTCAGGGACACAGAATTGTTACTCAGGGACACAGAATCGTTACTCAGGGACACAGAATCGTTACTGAGGGACACAGAATTGTTACTCAGGGACACAGAATTGTTACTCAGGGACACAGAATCGTTACTCAGGGACACAGAATTGTTACTCAGGGACACAGAATCGTTACTCAGGGACACAGAATCGTTACTCAGGGACACAGAATTGTTACTCAGGGCCACAGAATCGTTACTCAGGGACACAGAATCGTTACTCAGGGACACAGAATCGTTTACTTAGGTTACAGGGACACAGAATTGTTACTCAGGGACACAGAATCGTTACTCAGGGACACAGAATTGTTACTCAGGGACACAGAATCGTTACTCAGGGACACAGAATCGTTACTGAGGGACACAGAATCGTTACTCAGGGACACAGAATCGTTACTCAGGGACACAGAATCGTTACTCAGGGAAACAGAATTGTTACTCAGGGACACAGAATCGTTACTCAGGGACACAGAATCGTCACTCAGGGACACAGAATCGTTACTCAGGGACACAGACTCGTTACTCAGGGACACAGAATTGTTACTGAGGGACACAGAATCGTTACTGAGGGACACAGAATTGTTACTCAGGGACACAGAATCGTTACTGAGGGACACAGAATCGTTACTCAGGGACACAGAATCGTTACTCAGGGACACAGAATTGTTACTCAGGGACACAGAATCGTTACTCAGGGACACAGAATCGTTACTGAGGGACACAGAATCGTTACTGAGGGACACATAATTGTTACTCAGGGACACAGAATCGTTACTCAGGGACACAGAATCGTTACTCAGGGACACAGAATTGTTACTCAGGGACACAGAATTGTTTACGTTACTCAGGGACACAGAATCGTTACTCAGGGACAGACACAGAATCGTTACTCAGGGACACAGAATCGTTACTCAGGGACACAGAATCGTTACTCAGGGACACAGAATCGTTACTCAGGGACACAGAATTGTTACTCAGGGACACAGAATCGTTACTGAGGGACACAGAATCGTTACTCAGGGACACAGAATCGTTACTCAGGGACACAGAATTGTTACTGAGGGACACAGAATCGTTACTCAGGGACACAGAATTGTTACTAAGGGACACAGAATCGTTACTCAGGGACACAGAATCGTTACTGAGGGACACAGAATCGTTACTCAGGGACACAGAATCGTTACTGAGGGACACAGAATCGTTACTCAGGGACACAGAATCGTTACTCAGGGACACACTCAGGGACACAATTGTTACTCAGGGACACAGAATTGTTACTCGGGGACACAGAATCGTTACTCGGGGACACAGAATTGTTACTCAGGGACACAGAATCGTTACTCGGGGACACAGAATTGTTACTCAGGGACACAGAATCGTTACTTTCTGCTTCACAGCCACTATTGAATTAAAGAGTATGTCAGACAACACGCAGAGGAGTGGCAGAGGAGGCAATGTTTCAGGAGCGAGCAGACGTGGCAGCAGAGGAAGGGGTCGAGGCAGCACTAGTCGCAGCCAGAGGCCAGTGCTCCCGGTGTCATCCAGCGGTCGTGTCTCCACCGACAACCCTGCCGTCATCGATTGGTTGGCTCGGTCGTCTTCCTCTTCCCAGGTCACCTCTGACACCTACAGCCAACGGTCGGTGGGTACGTCAGACACAACCGTTAGTTGGCATGGCCCGGGAGCAAGCCCACTGAAATCACGTGTCCTCTACCTGCCCCTGTCCTTTGGTGTTCCCTCACCAAGCGAAGTATCGCATGCTGTGGGCTCAGCCCCACTGTACAGTGAGGAAGAGCTAACAGAGGGCGGTCAGGAACGGGGGGAGACATCCGCCTCTTCAGCAGCCAGGCGAAGAAGTACTGGCGAGGAGAGTGGCTCGGTAGCCAGTCTAGAGACAGGTCTGTCTCCTGACCCACACGCAGCCGAGGGGGCTAGTAGTGACGCGGAGACCCTAATTGATGATGATGAGGCTGATCGCACTTGGCAGCCTCGTCGTCATCAGGCTATTGCTTCCGCATCATCAGGAGAAGAGGGTGCCAGCTTGCCAGCGAGCAAAACAGTCGGTGGGTTGCCCAGGAGGCAGCAGGGTCGCAGCAGTGTCAGTGGAGGCAAATGGCCACGGAGTAGAGCACCAGCTCCACTGCAGCCTACCACCACGGCCAGTAGTGGTGCCGGTGTGCACGGAGGAAGTAGCAGTCAGCCAGTGAGGAGTAGCGGGGGCAAAGTTTCCTACTCGGCGGTGTGGCAATTTTTCGTCAAGCCGCCCGAGGAAGTAAACGTAGCTGTATGTCGACTATGTGGCCAGAAAGTCAAGCGTGGCCAGGGGGCCCATGTTGGGACTACAGCGTTGCGTCAGCATATGCAGCGTCGCCATTCGGTGGCCTGGGAAAACCGTGATAAAGATACGGCGGTTCTGCCCTGCCCCAGCCCCCGCTCCATCACCCGCTCCGTTACTTGCTCCGTCACCCGACGTCAATCGCCCTCTATCAGCCAGTCAAGGCTCCAACACCTCTGCTGAGGGGAGTTGTCGCTCGTTGGCATCTTCCGCTTGTTCAGATGCTCCTTCTCCTGCTACTCCTCTTCACGGATTCCGTCAGCAGTCTTTCTTGGAATCCGTTTCCAAGAGACAACAGTTTGCGAGCACGCACCCGACGGTGCAGAAGCTGAACGTCCTCCTGTCCAAGTTGCTGGTGCTGCAGTCCCTCCCTTTCCAAGTGGTGGACTCAGCACTTTTCCGAGAAATGATGGCTTGTGCCGAGCCGCGGTGGAGAGTGCCAAGCCGGCATTTCTTCGCCAAAAAGGCAGTGCCAGCCCTGCATTCACATGTAGAAGAGATGGTGGGCCAGTCTTTGAGCATGTCGGTCTCTGCCAAAGTGCACGGCAGCGCCGACGTGTGGAGCTGTAACTACGGTCAGGGACAGTACATGTCATTTACGGCCCACTGGGTGAACGTGGTGCCGGCACAGCCGCACCAGCAACTTGGACAGGTCACGCCGCTTTTGCCTCCACGTTTGCACGTCCTTGGTCCAGCAAAGATGTCCGCCTCTACCACCTCTTCTTCCGCCGTGTCCTCAGCCGCCACCCCCGTGCCAAGTCCCATTACCCGACCGGCATATCACATGTGCAGGGCGCAACGGTGTCACGCTGTGCTGCACCTGGTATGCCTTGGCGAACGTAGTCACACAGGGGAGGAACTTCTGAGTGTAATGAACAGAGAAATCGACAGATGGCTGTCTCCGCGCAAACTGAAAATCGGAACCATGTTGACCGACAACGGAAAGAACATGGTGTCTGCTCTGCGTCAAGGAAGGTTGTGCCATGCGCCATGCATGGCTCACGTGTTCAATCTGGTTGTCAAGCGGTTCCTAAAATCCACCATCCCACTGCAAGACATCCTTAAAATGTCACGTAAACTTTGCATGCATTTCAGCCATTCCTACA